GTGCTTGCACCACTTCTTACACCCAACGGATGATGTCATAATAGGATACAGAACTGCATCTCAAGTGGCTGCAATAACACACCAGTCGATTATGCTCGATCGATATACCCATCATTGTTGTCCTGATTCACGTCCAGTCTGTGTGTGGCTTGCAGATTATAGCTCAGCTTTGTGGTACCTCCACATAAGCACCAGCAAGATATTTTGGAGAACCGGCTGGCAACTGCCTCTGTGAATAAACATAATATAGAAAGTACTGATGTTGACCTCTATCGAGTTATGCTATATTTCTGCCGGGGGAGTATCGCATTTCATTAGTGTTGCTAGAATCGTCATTACTTGGTAACTGAGACGGCAGGCCCAGTGCGAGCTTGTAGAAAGTTTGCTATAATTTGCTCTTATTTGTGGATGCTCTTCATGCATTAATACTTATTCTAACAACGGGTATCCGCTTTTAACTTTGAAAGTTCATTAAAGGAATCGACTGCGTTCTGATTCGTTCAGTTTCACTGGTTATTGGGCCAGGAATTGGCGAGCTACAATTGAGGCGTAACTTACGGTGGTTGCCAGACAAAGGTCACCTCAAATACTCTGACCCGAGTCTCTCGAAAAATTTTGCTGTTTGAATACGCAGCAGGAGTGTCATTATCACACGGCTAAACTACAGGGTGAGACTGGGTGCTGGATCAACCCAATCTTGTAGTAGCATTTTACACTTTGAAGGTGCAAAACGCATACCGAACATGGCTACATCAATCTTGTAGTAGCATTTTACACTTTGAAGGTGCAAAACGCATACCGAACATGGCAACAGTAACACCCAAACTATCCAGAAAAGCTTGTACCTACCTGGATCATCACTTAGTAGCACAATGTCGTCTGCATACTCTAGATCAGATAGTCTGCCACCTGGAAGTAAATCGATACCGCTATCCCTGCACGGGGATAGGGCTGTTTCAAGAATTAAATATATGACAAAGTTAAATAGAAAAGGAGAGAGAGGGCAACCCTGTCGAACACCACTTCCCATAGTGAACTCGGTCAAGAAAGTGCCGTAAGCTAGGACTCAGCTTCGGCTATTATTGCAGAGGGATTCTAATATTGAAATAAACTTCTCGGGCACTCCCTTCAGGGAAAGGCAGCGCCAGAGTTTAGAGCGGTCGACTGAGTCGAAAGCTGCTTTTAGATCGAAGAAAATAAAAATGGTATTAAGTAGTATGAAAAATCGGTTGGGAGCTTTGTGACAAAATAAGCCGGGTCGACAAGAAGCACGCTAGATCCGTTACTTGTTACCAATGTTTATAGTTATGTACTGTGTACTTATAATGAAATTTAAATACATATAGAAGAAATTGAAATCTTCTATGAGGCCCCCAGTTTAATATTAGTATATAACTTCTGGTATTCAGCCCTTTTTCATTTTCAAGTGTCTAGTTATTCCGAAACAACTTGCCTTTCCAGGGAGTTTTTCTTACTCAGTTACCGCATATTAATTGTAAATATTCCTCCATTCCGTATCAATGTCAGGCTAGCCACAGAAGTGAATCTATGGCGTCCACCATAATATATAACTGTTTTACCTAATATAATCATAACATTATTATCAACCCATTCGATGAAAACAAGACTGAACACAGTGAGAAAAAGGGACAGAAAATTACATTCGAAGGAAATCACGTCACGTAAAATGAAGGAGATATTTGGACACCTGTTTCGTCCTCTTTGCGACTCGTCAGCAGTGCGTCCCTTTTGTGTCCTTGTCAGGACTCGAACCGCGATTTAGAACATTATCAACAGTTCCATTTCGCCTGTTCGCCGAGCTTGGCAATTTGTTTGCAAACGTTTCATCACCAGCCGAG